TATTCTCTACTATTTCTGATGATAACATTGAAATACTACTCTATCCACTGAAATATGCCACTAACTTTGACAAAGATCTAGCTAATGCACAACATCTTTATTACAATCGCAAAATTCAAAAGATCAATTCATTTAGTAGCAAGAATATAGTCAGCTTTCTACTTAGCCTATAAAGGAGTACTGATAATATATGTTTTTAGTCTCAATTTAGGTCCTTGACCTGAAGGTTAGAAGTTGTTTACCGATAGAGCCTCCCATACTCACCCCTTTTATTGATTCCAAAATGGAAATAGAATAAATAAATATAAATATATTTAAGGATGCAGCTGTATTATCTTGAAAACACTTTTTTCCAGAATATCTCATTATTTTCTGAGAATCGATAAAGGGAAATAAATTGCAGACAATACTATCATGGGTTTGTGGAAAGTCATGCCGCTGAAGTGGCCAACTTCAAATTCCAAGTAATATTTATTTATTTCAAATGGCAGGCATTTTGATGAATTTATTTATTTCAAATGGCAGGCATTTTGATAGTTATCAGTTGACTTCGGGCTTCACAGAAGGGAGGAACATTAAAGTGAGTAAAATTCGACAGGGGAAAAGAAGAGCGATTCAGAGATGTAAAAGACAGACAGACACAAAGTTAGAGAAAAGGTGAGGTGAGTACTGTGAAAGGGGTCGAATATGACATAGAGTGGGGTCATGGCAGTTTGAGGTCAGATGTCAACCGCCAGTTAATAGACTTTTTTGTCGTGTGAGTATACGTTGCCCAGGGTGAACCACATGGAGGTAAGTCTATCGCACACTCCATTCCAAGTAATATAATCATCTGACCTTTGAAGTGTACGGGCTTAGGGTGTCGGGGGTGGGGTGGGGGAGAATTCTTGCGTAAGCAATTTTCACCAGTTTTATAATCAACGGTCATTCAGAGGAAAGTATGGTTTTGATGAAAAAATGGTTCCACACAACTTGGTCAAAAGGAATTTAAAAAGATGTAATAAAAATAGAGAATAAAGCTGTCATTTAAAAATAGTCAGCTGAAGAAGTGTAGAATTGTTTCTGTTGTAAGTTAACATGGGCACACATTTCTCAACGGTGTTTAGATCTGCTTTGAACTACAAGAATCCTCACACCCCTTTTGCCAAAAGGTGAGTACCCTTCAGTAGATCGCATATAAAATCCTACAGAGTCCCAGTATTGGTTGAGCACAGTTTGAATATTTTGCGTTAGGCTGCATATCTTCAACCTGACGGATTATTGCAATGAATGGCGGTAACTATTTCCAATCTGTATAACCCTTTGATTAGGCACAGGTTTCTAAATAGAATAAGCTCAAATCACCTTACAGCATTCTCTTAAAAATGATACGTTAACTACGAATTCTGTTGAATCGCCCGTTGATTAAAAAGCTGACTATTCGAGAATTTTTCCTTTCATTTAATTTAACTGAACGAACAAAGAAGAAGTTCGCCTTTAAAATCTACCTGCTTAAATAAAGGAATGCACAGTGACCATCATATTTCATTTACTGTTCTTGCTCTCATTTACTCTCTTACCTTTGTGTGTTGGGCTAGTGGAGTTGAAATCTGTGTGGCCAACAATTTTCAGTTAATGTTTGCGTTAGGAAAAAAATTGAGGCAAGAATGAAAAATGTTTAAATTTTCCAATTACAACAATGGGAGAAAGGTGAAAAATGGAGACCTCTTTCTAGTAAGTTGAGGGTATCTCTGAAGTTCTGCCGCAATTTTCCCATCCTTGTCCTTAACATTTTCGGGTTAACTGTAAAGTTCATTCCTTTGACAATCTACAAGCCCCGATATCCAAGTTACCAGATTTGAGATGAGGGCACAACACGAACTTAAAGTATGGCCTTGAAATATGCAAGTGGATATTAAATATAATGTTGAGAGGAAGTATAGGAGATTTAAACGATAAAAATTTTATTTCCCAAAGTGCAGATATTTAACAAACAATTTTCCACAATATTACTTTCACCTTGTCAATTCCAATTGAAGAAAAGTTGTCGGGACAAATGCTTCAAAGTAAGCTTTTTTTAAAATGAGGGATTTGAATTCCTTCGCAGCCTCAAAGTCAAATATAGTACAATACCTGACTCTAAGTTGACTAATGAAAAAAGGAAATTACTCTCTTAAATTAGAAAAAAAATTAAGAAATATTGATCTCATTTCAGTAGTGCGTTTAATTAGTAAAGTAATTTTATTTATAATGGGCTCATATCATACACCTTTGCTGTGTTAAGAAGCCCAAATGTTGAATGCGTGAATGTGCGTGTATGTGTAAGTTTGTTATGTCAAAGGTCATCTTATCTAGTCTGGTCAACACATTTACAGTGATGTTAGTGCCGTGACCTTTTTGAGCAAGAGGGATACTGGTAGAAATCTAGTTGCACAAAATGAAGTCTTGGTTATTAGCACTCGGGTTTGATTGAACTACTATTGAGTAATCTTCTTTTACGGACATTAACTTAAGGGGTTTTACTAAAGAAAAGGTCGGGACGGGGTGCATATATAGAGAAGCATACTGGGAAAAGGGAAACGGACTTGGAAATTTGATGGTTTTGGTTCTGGAACCAAAAATTATTAATTAAAGCGGTTGGGCCACTTTATCAAAATAGACTTAATGGCTTGAATTTTTAGAGTATCCCATTCAATTAAACCTGAACCATATGGGCACCAGCATGGGAGTTGAAGGTAACAGTTCTTGTGATCTCACTTTCCCCAACCTAAATTATCTGATATTGATTGAAACAGTAAACCTGATTTTACTAAACACGAGATCACGTGACTGTTTTGTTAGCCCCCACTCCACCACCTCACAGATCAATTGTGCCTGCAAATTCTGATAACCTGGCCATACTGTTTGACCTTTTCTTTGTTCATGAATTCAGTCACTTTTTCACATTTGGTAAACATAGGAAAAAAAGAAACATTTATGCGTCGGGGATATATCATAAAGTTAGATTTTTCGCCGAATTACTGGAACCTTTGAAGTGACAGTTACAAAATGCGTGAAATTTGGCAAGAAATATATAGCACAAGTGCAGAGAAACAATTGTACTTTGTCACAGATTAGATTGAGCATCACCTCTTGTCTTTCAAGATCAGTCCCTTCGTCGTGTTGATAGCGCGCATGCATCCTCAAAAAATAACATATTGAAATTACAAATTACTCCATTTTAAATTGAAGACAATAAATGCGCTGTGGATAAAACATAACCATAGAAAATAAAAATAAGTTAGATAAGCATTTCAAAAAAATTTTTATTGTTTTTTTCTCATTTAATTTGCTAACTGGACTCTTACAGGTGTTTCAAGAGAAAGTGAAGACTTTATCGAATCAAATGTGCAACGAGAAGTTTCCTAAACTTACCTTCATGATAATAAAACAACTATTATTTCTTCTTCAGTTTGCAAAACATCGTAACGATAAGGTGTCTTCCCCCAAGTGGACTTCCGATTGATAGGTTAAACAAGTAGTGAGACTTCCTAATATCCTTTAAAATATAACAATAGAAGTGCGATCGAATTTTAAATTTCCCAGGCCTTCTCTCTTAGTTCTGAGGTAGAGCATATTTATTTATTTTTTTATATCAAATGGCAGGCGTTTTGATGGTTATCATTAGCCCTTTAGTTGACTTCAGGTTTCACAGAGGGGAAAGTACATCAAAGTGAAAAAAGTCGAGAGGAGGGGAACTGAAGAGTGTTTCAAAGACGAAGGTTGAAAATTCAGAAAAAATGTGATGTAGCACTGTGGAAGTGGTCGAATATGTCATACAGGGGGCCTTGGTAGCTTGAAGTCAACTGCGGGTTAATAGACTTTTTGCCGTATGAGTATACGTTGCCCAGGGTGCACCACGTGGAGGTAAGTCTATCGCACACCCCAGGTAGAGCATATAGAGTAAGGTACAAGATATGTGTTAATAAAGTGCAAATATGGTTGGAGGCTCCTTTACTTGATTTGACAATTTAAAGTCCGAGGAGATACGATGAAATATAGCAATGGCTAAGATTGAATAAGATCTTGTGAAATAGGCGGGAAGGAGGCGGAGTGCCTGTTACACTATTAACATTTGTTCAATTGCTTACGAATTTTCGTTTGATTGGCTGTTAAAGAGCGACACAACAAAAATGGGTACTGGTTGTCACGAATTCAGGTGTACAATACTTTCAACTACAACTGCCGAATATTCAGTCTTTCCATAGACATTAGTCATCTAACCAATACGAACAAATTCTCAGAACGTAGCTGCAGGATCCCACCTTTTAACTTTCACACCTATCAGTTCACCTCGATACAATCACCCAAATTAATTAACTCAAAATTCGAATCTAAACTTAAGCCTGAACATTGTGGTCAAGAATTTGCTTAGTGATTAAGGCAATAAAGCACTTAGTTAGAATGTTGGAGCAAGAACCACCAGCCTAAATCTGGGACTAAAGTGAACAGAGAATTCTATTTTTTGACTTAGTGCTTTCCCAAAATGAAAATATACAATTAATTGCTTTGTTTAGGATTATATTAATATTAACAATACAATGAAAAATTAGTAATTATTACTGTCATTAATATTGATTGTTATTAATATAATCCTCCTCTGCTGGTCTTGACTTTCCCGCACCTTTTGTAAACACTGTTCCAAGCATTGGCAGCACATTTCAGGAAGGGAATACGGCATATGCGCTTGTGCCCTAAGACAACACACGAGCCCAGAATTATCATTTAACCAATGAGATCGTACCGTGGTAGCACGCAATACCCTTCACCCTAATACACGTAGAAAGCGCGGGAAAAGCAATCAATGAGTGGCCGAAAATGTTACACTGTGTAAAAAGCCCAAGCACACTCACGATTCACACTTGCGAACAAGAGCCAAGCTGAATATCACGTTCTGCGGAGATATTTTCCCCCTTTGCATTTGGAATTTGTTACTCAGAAATGCACCTCAGTTTAATAGACAGACTTGAACAGGAATAACTATGCTTTCCAAAATTAAACACAGACGGACGACTGCTAAGAAAGGTGAGTTGGGTTCATTTCGTCATATTTAATTGTTGTTAATGATTCACATTTAATTCACATTATCTTTATCCGGTTTTACCTCAACAGCAAATTTCTTGATAAATGAAATGAATATTGAAGTGTATTAAAACACATTACGTCAATATTATCAATAACGAGTGGTATATTTTATATCTATATATTAACTTTAGCTGAAGACGATGAAGACGATACGAAGGAATTTTTGCTCAATCGTAAAGTGGCTATAAAAGAAAACGTTAATGTCGACAAGGAATATAAAATATTTGAATTTCTTGGCAGGTAAGAAAATACTTTTATGTTGTGTATTTAAAGTCGTTACACAATTTGCAACATTAGTTTTAAAAGCTAAGAAAAATGCTCTTAACAAAAATAGCTCGAAGTTTTGATTAAATTCCCTTAAAATTAAGTTTACTTTTATTGTCTGTGTCGGTACAAAAGGCCACTGTGAATCTCATGAATATTAGGATATTAAAAAGTTTCAATTTAATTTGTAAATGCGGAGGAGTGTGTATAGAATACAATGAGCCAAAATTTCTATTTTAAATACATTCTGTTCACTGTATCAGAAAGGGGATAATTAATATTCCTATTTACTTTCATTTTCACTATTGGTATATCCCCCTTTCATTTTTCGTACTGTAAAAAACCCATTAGATTCCACTCACTGTAGACCCTGAATTAATTTTTTTATAAGAAATTCGCCGCTTTTAAATGTAAACAAACGTTTACGTCACCTTTTATTGGATCGGTCTCTTGAATTGCGTAGGGATTATCTAATTTCATTGGTTTATTAATGTAAACTCCAACGGCCTTTAGGAGTTTTAAAACACTACGCTGGGAGTTTGTAAACCCAAGGGCCAACATGTCTGAAATAAAAACAGTTGGCATTGGTTCGGTGCGCGCCAGTAAGAAATCCGTTAATTGAAATGCCAAGTGTAGTAATTAATGCACGATTATTTGCAAGGAATTTCCTTATTGTGCGAGTGTGCTTGTATGTATGTGTGCATAATTTTAGAATGCTCTCTACCAATATATCTGATAGTAGTTATAATTGTTTAAAAAGAGTTGGGTAGGAATTTCACTAGTTTGCTTATACTCTGCATACTATTGAGTTCTTACACATTTGCCACTCTTATCTCTAACTCTGTCTATAAAGTAGTGATTTGAAATTGGATTCAATTTGTGAAAACTTTGCTTAGCTGATGGGAACAAGTGTGAATAGTATTTAGTTCAACTTATTGTGCATGAAAGTTTTTTATAGCTAATCTCAATTAATTCGATATTTTTGTACCATTTGGGGGGTATTAAAGCCTTGTATGCTGTATTTCATTCTTGTGAGGGCACAAAATGAACATGCCATTAAAATTATTATTCCATTTTGACTTCGGGGATTTGCAAACTTAGCAGTAGCTTCAGGGACAGAAGTCTAGTGGCTGACTGACTTTGGTGCTTTCAGAATACAACTCGTTCTCGTGACAACAATTTAATTTCATCTATTCAACATATGCTTATAACTAATGAGAGGATTGGCCAACGTGATATGATTAGAAGTAGAAATTCATTTGATAATGATAATTTCGAATCTATGTCATATGACATTTTGATGATGGGTCAGATTAGGCAGCAATCCATCGGGATTAATAAACCACTCACTTCAAGTGTTTTTTTTATAGCGGCAAATTTGGAGATGTAAATAAATGCCAAGAGAAGTCAACAGGTTATGAGTTGGCGGCAAAAGTTGTTCCCTATTACTCGAGTGACGAGAAGGAGGCTGTGATGAATGAAGTGGAAATAATGTGTCGTCTCCGACATCCGCGACTCATTCAACTCTACGATGTCTTCGTTCAACCCGATCGAATCACTCTCATCATGGAATTGTGAGTTTCTTATTACCATTAATTACATGATTTGCTTCCTTTTGTTTACTCAAAAGAGAGCCCATTAGAAAGCGGTAGTTTCAGAATTGGAATAACTATTAAAATTTACAAGGTGAATATTTTATACAATATTTATGCATGCCATTTAAACATAGAGGAAAATCTATTCCTAACAAATATCATATTAAATCGTAATCATTCGCATTTTATTAGCTAAAATAGAAGTAAATTCCTCTTTAAGCAAGCCTCTTAAGTTGAATTGCGAAGAGAGTGCGATAGGGCTCTAGATGCAGCAGTGAAGTATATTTTGCTCTTTTTGAACTTATAACCTTTTGGACAAGAGCGATTTGTCTGCATCGCCTTTTTTTCGAAGTTTCTTTCCATTCACAATTTCTTTTTCACTGCATTTCAATTTTAGAAATGAAATGGAATGCTATTCTGGATAGGTAATGGTTAGATAATGCAAACAGCCAATTTAATAATAATGTAATAATAACTTCTCAGTCATTCAGACTCAATGCTGGGGGAAGGAGTAGAATTACCACTCGAATTGTGATTCATTTTTAGGAAATTTACCTTTCCTACTCGTTCTCGAATGGGGGGGGGGTTGTAAGTGTCTGGCTGTCTGGTTAGGCAATGGTTTTAGGGATTGTTTCACCACGACTGGCTTCAAAAATTAACGTGTGGTTGTTGGAATCCTACCGAATCGCTAATTCATTGTATGAGATGAGGAATCAGAATTTAACTCGATTGAAGGTATCAGGCTTTCATTAACCATTCGTCTTTTGGTTATTGGCTAAGTTGTCTTACTGATCACTTGAATATGGGCAAATCAAAGCACTGTAAGTACAGTTTCAGAAATTTGGCTTTCAACTTTAGGGAATCATAGCAAATTTAAAAATGGAATGGTCCCAAAAGTGTAATTAAATTTGAAGAATCGTCCATAAAAATTGATCTCGGAACAGCTCTCTAACTTAAACCTCAATCTGGGTTATATTTTTCAATATTACTCATGACCGAATTTTTAACTTTCACGATGATAATCTTCCTTTTCCTTCAAACTCTCTCAATAAAATGTAATAATGAAAGCCTCACATAATCTTTCTTGAATCGACTCTATGATAATCAGATCAAGTAGTTAATCATACCTCAATTTCATTGTTTTAATTAATATTTGAATTGAGTAGTTTTATAATAGATACATTTCAGAAGTGAAGCAAAAGTGTTTAGGTAAAATCTTTTTTAAACGGAATATATATTTATATAGAATTAGCAAAACACCAGATATGGATTTACAAATACAGACATTATTTCATGACGCCAATAATACCACCATCTTAATAAGAAAGGCATGATTTTTTTCCGTGATTAATTTCTGGAAATTATTTTAGTGTCTGGAAGAAAATTGGGAATTTCTTGCGTCCTATGTACAAACCAGTAAGACTGGGAGGATTGTTTTATGAATTTTTTTTTCAAAAATAAAGTGGATCTGCAACTTTGGTTCTTGGTCTGTCTACTAATTGAGTAAAATTCATGCTTTTTACTCTCTTGTGAAAGAATTAATTTTCCAAAAGTCATAGGTGGTAATATATATTTTTAATCAAAATTACTGTTCATTAAAAACAAATTTTTAAATAAAATTCCCATCATTTGCAATAGTTTATTTTGTTAGTTCCAAGTCCTTATTAAGTCTAGCTTTGAAAATATGATAATAACTGAGAAAAGAAAGGAAGATTCCATGTTTGGATTAATGGACCAATTGAATATCTAGCCACCCTGTAGAGAAGACCGCTGTTCATTCATTTATAGCCCATTCTAGGGCGAATTGAAGTTAGATCTTGAAATAAAAGTTAATTATTACACAAACTGCAACCCTTCCAGAGTCGAAAATCGTTTAAATAATAACACCAATACCTTAGGATTGAATTGCTAATAAACTCCTCATTTGTCTTTTGACATTGGAGACTTCAAGGGACAGTGATACCTATCCATCTGGAACTATCAAAATCATTTGGTTCTACCTCAAAGATAAATGCAAAAAAATGAAATCCTATAAATTTTTCAAAATAACATAAAGCGGAAATATTGAACTCTTTAAGGCTTTAATGCTTTTGCCTTAATTATTGCGTATGATTAAAATGAATGAAGACAGCAATCATAGCTAAATTACTATCATTTTCCACTGAATACATCAATACTTCGCAATGACTTAAAGCCTCTGACCCAAGACGCCAATGAAATAGATTCGAACAATACCTGTTTTAGCCATAGTGAATGGGTATTTATATGAAGCAAATTTTATTAACTGGGGAGGGGGAGGGGGTGGACGTGAATCATAATTTTGGCATTAAGACCACTGGTCTTCAGGCGTTGTATTGGTCGGCAATTCTGCGCGTCCTTTAGGTGAAGAAGTAGAAGGGCAAAAGCTAAATTTCTTTAAAGGGAAAGAAGTAAATTGTACCTTTCGCGAAACGGAAAGATTTTAGGTGCGGTCGTTTAGCATAGAAAACAAGGTGAATTAGTTTTGATTTGTAGTTATAGACTAAGTGAAGTAATTTCCAATTTAAGGAGTTGAATGATTGATTATGCTGTTATACTGTATGAAAATTCTTTTAAGAAGTACTTTGTCAAAGCAATAACGAGTCCTGTAGTTTTAATTAAATAAAATAAAAAAAATAAAGATTTGAATTATCTGAAGCGAGAGGTAAAGCTAACTGGGACAATTAAGTCTTCGTCTGATTTCACCTTTATTTTGAAATAGGACTTTTTAAAATAATTAAATGAAAATCATGCAAGCCTTTTATCATTAAATTGGAAGATATATCACTCTCCCTCTCAAGTGAAACAAGGTTCCTAAAATTAATAATTTTGGCTTTGTGAACGCAATGAAATTCCGCAAAATTGCCTCCAAGTTCCTATGACACGAATACATCTAATGGGGAGAATTAAAAAAATGGATTTAGCGAAGTAACTAGGAAACGAAGGGATGAAGATTTAGTCACCAATATAAATTTTAGCTTTTGTTGTTTTAACTACATAATATTTCATATAAATACGGTCGAGTTGGTGTTTGTCAGGTTTGATTTTATTAACCGTAGAGATCAAATGCAATGTCGATGAATGTACCAAATTAGTGGAACGGTAAAAACATTCGTGCTAAGTTTATTATGTAGAATTTAAAAAAAATCGGTACAAATAAGAGTTAATTGTTTGAATAGAAACTTGGTTTTTTGTAATTTAAAAAAAAATTGGGGGAAAAGCTCAAACTAATGCAAACGATTAATGTCTTGAATACGTTGAAGTTTATGCCATTATCAAGTGATAATTATGCTAAATCCCAATAAAACCTCCTTCAAGTCTACAAAAGCGTAATATTTCAGAATAACTGGTGGGGAGTTGTTCGAGCGCGTCATCGACGAAAGCTTCGAATTGGATGAGGCAACTTGCGAGAAATTTATGCGTCAAATACTTCAAGGCGTTGAGTATATCCATTCCCAACACATTGTACATTTGGATTTAAAGGTAAATTTAGTCTTATTCTCTCTGTAAAATTGAAATATTTATGTAAATGCCTATTTCAGTCTACATCGTTAATAAAAGCGATCAATCTGAATGAAAAATGTCAAAATAAGTTCGGTTAAATCATTTTTAAGTCTTAATATTACCAAACCCAAGAAGTTATTCAAGGTAGTATATTAGAAATAGGAATTTTAACTCGTTTGCCACATTGAGCACACTATTCCACTTACTTAATAAATTTAAAAATCGGATCAATAATGCGGACTGGGGAGTCAGACAAATAGCTTTCACATTCTATTGCAATGAAGGAAGCTTTCGACTGGTCATCACAAAGTCCATTTCGTTTACCGAAAAAATCAATATTATCGGAAAAAATCAGTCGAATCGTATCGATTGAAAACCATTTATTCTGCTGGCTTAAAGTCTGGAGAATATACTTTCCTAAGAAAATATCTATACTCATTTAAAACTGATTCATGTACTTAACATTTATTTAGAGTCCCTATGTAAAGATTTGCAGGAGCAAAATGTAATTTGATTACAAAATCTCTTACTGTTGTCTGCATTTGGTTGATTTCTTATTTTTATTCAAACAGCCGTATTGTTTATTTTAATTGCATCTATTTTTTCCCTTTTCCACAGCCCGAAAATATTCTCTGTTTATCAAAAACCGGTTTCAAGATTAAGATTATCGATTTTGGCTTGGCACGAGAAGTGACCGGAGGAGAACTTCGCGTAATGTTTGGCACTCCAGAATTTGTTGCCCCAGAGGTCATCTCCTTTGAGCCCGTAACCTATGCAACAGATATGTGGTCAATTGGTGTTGTCTGCTATGTTTTGTAAGTGATCATTATTGTATTATAATTATTATTAATAAACAAGAATTCTTAGTGGAATTAACACAGGCGGTGTCCACGTAGGCAGTAAATGTTTCAAAACTTCCTTTTGGCTAATGATGGCAATAGGAACGCAATAATGTTACTATTTCATTTTGTACGAGTATTGAGAAGCGCTTGGCTTGAATATTTTGTGGGGACAACTTAATTTTTGTGCGCATTTGCAAATATAATACGGAGTTGGCTCTTGAACTTTTATGGATTGAAAAAATATTAAATATAGAAATTCGGTGAACTTTTAAAAGAACGATTGTGCAGTTTTCTCTTGGATTGGAATAAGCATTTAATATAATATGTATAAATAAATATATATATGCATTCATAAATAACGAATGCATTTCTCAAAATACTTAAATCAATAACTTTTTTTGGAAAAGGTGAATGAATTCCTCAAATTTTAAAAGGGTATTTGAATAAGAGAGATAAAACTAAGTTTTATAATCGTAAAATAGTAAATTTTTAAAATTTTAAATTATTGATACTTTTAGCAAATAAAGTTCATTTAAATATATTTTGGCCTTCATAATTAATTTTAGGATAGGATAATAGCTTTAGATGAAATATGAATATATTTAAAGTTAGTTCTTTTTTTGATTAAAAATTAGTATGGCCTATTAAAACTCGAGAAATATACAAATACTTACATCCTTTCAAGCTTAATTTAAGCCAATAGCATGATTTTCTTAAATGCGCATTCATTTTTGACTCACCGATATTAAGGCATTTTATAAATCATGGAATCTGGGCTTTAACGGGGAAAAATGAAATAATTTAGTGTTCATATTAATCATGTAAAATTATTATTCAATTAAAAAATCAAAATAACCAGCTACAAAATACCCCCCCCATTTACTTAATCTTCTTAACTTCCCAGTAGCCGATTCTAAATTAAGGAATGCTGTATTATGGCAACTAAAACATTTTAAAAAAGCAATTAGATTTCTGACATCTCCCACCCTCTCCCTCCCTCTCGGTATTTGCATTCCAAAGGCCGACTATGTCTAAAGAACGAACCAGTTGAAATTCGATTAGATTAAATCTGTTTTCGTGACTAATTAATTTAAAAGTTTAAATGAAAAAGGTTGGCTCACTATTTTCCGTGTCGAAATAGAAATTTTCAATTACTTTATCCAATGTAGGCTGTCGAAGTTTAGATCACATGATGGTGACGCTAAAATTTGATAGCGTTATATAAACGAAGGACAGAAAGACATAATTTAAGTTATATGAACAAGTTTATTTTAATTTCGTTAAAATCTGATTAATTACCATTATTTAAACTAAATTGCACCGGTATCAATCTCAATTTAATAGAATCAGCTAAAGAACATTTTAACATGAACTAGAAAAAAATAAATACCAATTCTGGAGTTATAATATTGTAAATAATTACATTTTATTTATTTTCTTGAATAAAATCGAGCCCTCCTGATTGAATGGATTTCACGTAGTCCTCAACCAGTCTTACAGCAAATCCTTTTAATGCACTCTAGTTGAATTCATCGATTTACTATTTTTATACGCTTGAAAGTTCATTAATGCAACTGAAATCGAGCCAAATATCCTTTTAATTTTTACAATTCCTTTTCTGAAATTAAATCTGCATTAAGAATGTGAAGTCTAGAGCTATGTAAGTATCTTTACTTCCTGTGAATAATTTCTAAATCTTATAAAATTGTGCACGTCAGGGAATGAAATTAAAGCACAAACATGCATAGTTAAAGAAGGCATTAAAGTGCAAGTGGTTTTTAACGAATAGCGCTTCGTTTTACTAACTGAAATGTCCGCTGTTTAAAACTGCTAACTGAAAAGCATGAGGTGGGTAAAATTCCACCTCATGACCACCAATTTGACAGTTCCATTCTGCTTCCAACGATACGGGAAAAAAGGAGAGAGTGAAAAGCGAATGCATTTTCCTAGTTTTGAGCCAAAACGGACTACATAGGGGATCCTAGTTTTTAAAAGCACGTGAATGTTTTCACATATGTAGTGATACAAGTAATCGAACGTTAGAAGTTTATTAGCAAAGATTGGCAGACTAATGTATTACAGTACAATACAATGCAATAGAATAGTTTACTATAAGCGTAATAGACAAGAAGAACCCATTTGAAATTATATTATGATTTTTGTAAGTGAAAGATAGATGGGCTTGTCTCTGAAGTAATTTCAATAAACAAGTATAAATGATTGGATTAAAATTGAATGGGAGTGAGTTGAAATTTAATGAAATATGGGAAAACATGATTGCAATATGGAAATACTATTTTCCAGTTAAGAATTTTAGTTCCGAAGGTAAATGTCTTTGCGTTCAGTGTTGGGGAATGCAATTAATTTGATACATGACTTGGCAAATCTTTTGCTTTGAATCCATTTGAATGAATATTTCGATTTTTAAGCTTTTTCTAATGCACCATCTTAATTTTTAATGATTTGTTTTCAGCGGAAGAGAAATTTTATTATTATTTCTATCAGCAAGAAGAAATTTAATTTAACGCATTGATTTTAAGTCAATTGACTGCTCTGAAGTTGTAAGTTTTTGAATATTAACGGGCATAATAGTAAAGTTAAAACCAGTAATGCATATAAAGTATCACAGTTGTTATTTTGCATATATTATCATTTTTAAAACTCTCATAACTGAAAAATGCGAGATATGTCTGTATTGCAAAGTACATCCCTTCAAACTAAAGTCTAAATGAATTGTGTACGACTTAGCTGTGTCTCCGACTACCTGAATCTATATTTCTTAGTAAACTCTTTATTCCGATATATATATATATATATATATATATATATATATATATAACGGAATATATATATATATATATATATATATATATATATATATATTCGAATGTAAGACTAACGTAATTGACAGTTTTGATTTATTAAAGAATATTTTACCTAAAGTATTTTACACTGTCAGGCTTCCTGACTATCACCATTTATAATCTCATTATTTTTCTCATGTTATCACCTCCGGTTAGTGCTGTGACCAAAATATTAAAAAAACTTTTATTTTATTTAAATTTAGACTATCTGGTTTATCACCCTTCATGGGCGATAATGAAGGCGAAACCTTGAGCAACATTATGCGTTGCAACTATACCTTCAACTATCCAGAGTTCAAAGATATTTCTTCGGATGCGAAAGATTTCATAAAAGCTCTGTTAACAAAAAATTCACAGTATGCAATACATTCTAACTATCGTTTAAGATTGGTATTTATGTTTTATTTTTATTTGCTTTTTTACTTTTTATTTTAGAAAGAGAAATACTGCAACCCAATGTCTTTCTCATCCCTGGTTAAAGGTAATTTGGGAATGGGTTTTGTATATAAACAGGGAAAAAATGTCATTTAGAAACCTGACAATACACAAATCATTAATATACATTCTGTAAAAGTGATACGTGGCACTTTCGGATAATCGTCTATTAAATTTATTTTGGAATACTTTAAATCCATTTATTTCTGAAGTAAATCGGATGCTATTTCATTTTGACAGACATTCAGACTTACATGGCAAAATATGTGCCATGCAACTTATGTGGTCCAAAAAAAGGCAGTTTATTTTGAAACTGGAATCATGAATAGTTCAGTTGAGAATTTTGAAGTAAACCACAACAATAAGTCTATCTACATAATCTTCAATTTAGGGAAATTGAAAGAAGTAAAATTTATAATCGTCGACCTAATAGTAATAATTAAACCGGAACAACTTATAAAGTATTTGGATTTTCTTAGAGCTTCTAGCATTAATACTGAGATCAATAAACGCATAAAACCATTCAAAATAATACCATAATGTCTCAACTAAAAGGCTCTTCAAAAATTCATTTACAAATATCAAGACTGTTAAAGTTGTGCTAGTATAAGTAGAAAAAATTGAATTATAATTTACCACCGCAAGCCCACATTAAAATTTTTCCCTCAACTCCCTATTGTTACGGAAATATTTATGCTGCTAAAGGAGGCGCCGAAATTGAAGCGAACTGCAACAGTCAGCAAAAAGCGACTTCGGCATTTCGTCTACCGACGGAAGTGGCAGGTGAGAGCGATTTCCATTCAATTGCATAATGCAAATGCAAAAACAATTTATGCAATTAAAGACAAGCACATTTTTAATTATAGAAAGCTGTTAATGCAATAATTGCTCTCCAGCGGATGGGTGTAGTTTTATGTCATACTCAAAACAAAGACCGTGAATATCGTAAAATTCTCCAAGCTAAGAGTGCAAAGACGGCAGCTCTATTCAAGAAGTCTTCCATCCGAGGCAAACCTACAACACTTCCTGACCCTCAAGATATGAAACGAAACTTCTCATTTAGCACGGCAAGTGAAGCTGATAAACAAACTAATGTGGGAAACAGGTCCATCAGTCGAGCGGATATAGAAACGATTTCCAATATGACGAGACCTCCACAGATTAAGGTTACAAAACCCACTCAAAAAGAGATCAAAATACCGGCTTTGAATAATTCCAACGTCTCCAAACCCCAATCCCCTAGCACAACTAAGCGAGAGTCGAAAAATATTGAGAAAAATGTAGCCAAAAGTACAGAGAAGGCGGTTGTTAAGGAGGAGAAAATATTATCAGCCAAATCAGATAAATCATCTCCCATAAAAACTAACAATACACCTAAGGAAATCTCCACAACTGGTGTTAAACAAAATAACATCACTAAACAGCCATCGCCAACGACAGGTGAACAACCCAGGGAAGCCAAATCACCACCAGCTTCCAAACAGAATTCTATTCCAATGAGATCGCCAACAATTGGTAACCCTTCGGAGGCTAAAGATCAGAAAAAATCCACAAATCCCAACTCTCCTGGACTATCGACATCACCCAGTAACTCAACAACTAACAGTTCTGTAAACATGAGTGGAAAATCAATACAACTGAAATCAAGTGATAAGCCGATACTACTGAAGATGGTGACTTTGAATAAGCAGAGAGGTAGCGTCGCGGATAGAATAAATTTCTTCAATAGCTCCACAGAATCTCAAATTAAGAGCGCCAAGCATAAGAAATCCCCCCCATACCATTAATTATAATCATTGGCGGCTTGTTAACATCCCCCTCAAATGTGTAAATATCAAACAACTCGCAACTGCACACAAATCTGCACCGGAATGAGGCAACACCTTTGCTTTTCACACAAAATACCAGCACAGATTACTCTTGTCATTCAACAAAAGGAGGCAACGATATTTCTGCTTTTTCACGTTGCTTTATCATGATTTACGCAGTATAAAACTAAATGTTTTTTTTGAAATGAAAAAATTTTCTATTTCAATGCTTTTGCTTTTTTCCTTCTGATATTTATCAGCTTCGATTCGGTAGTTTAAAGTAAATATGTCCTTAAATATTGCAGATAATTTATGGCTTGAATTTTATCAGGTTGAAGAGAATTTCTACTTTGACATTCTCTATCCCACAATTTGTTTTAAGCACCTGAAACACCTTACTTCTTCGATTAATAATTTGGCTGAACTTTCCCAGACTTCATAAAACGCCTGAGAATATTGAATAAAGTTGTAAACCAAACGCGCTCTCTATTATAGTCATTAGAAAATTAATTATAAAAATTACTTTATAGCTTTATTTATAACAAGTCTAAGGTCTAAGGACTTTGTAGGTATAAACAATTTGCGTAAGGAATATGATTATGGTCATTTAATGCGTTTGATTCATATATTGTGACAACATTTTTCAATTCTAGCTGAGGTCTTTCGAGGATAAAACCATATAAATAGTCTTAAATGTGGTCTAGGTATTTATTTTTCGCAAGCACTTTAGACTGCATTTTGTGTAACCAAGTCGAATGAAATATTTGAACTCTGTTCATTTAAATCTGTTCTGGAATGCATTTATTAACCCACGACTTAGAGTTAATGTATGTGGTCTGGTATTAACCCACAGTGTGTCAGATGTAGGTTTCCAAATTCGTTGGGTCAAACTGAGGCACACGATGAACACAAAATAGGCCAATAGTGAGGCTGAACTTGAAATTCTGAACTGTCGTTTTCTGTATCGACCTACCTAGCCATTGGTTGTTATCAATTTGAGTGAAAATAGGCAAAATAGGAAGAAACTTACATTGCTTCTTTTGCGTCCTTATTTTTGAACCTTATACTTCCTACGATTTATGAGCCTATTCACGTACCTCGTGCTTTTGTCTTCTTAGTGCCACTCAGGCAGTTGGGATGTTGATACTTGACTAAGCCAGTATCTTCTAACGATTTTCAATACAAAAACTGAATAGAGAAAGAGTTGTAACTATCCAGATTACGTTATTGTAGATTGCTTTATGAAAGAGGTGATTAGAAAATGTAGATGGCTCTTTTGTTGAAGGTGATTGCCTCTATGACAAATGCAGTGAACTTTGAGGATTAAATTGAAATGACAGTAAGTTGAGTAGATTTGCAGTGAGGATCTAAAAAATCTAGAATTGAATGTAAATAAATGACAAAGGATTGTAAATGCTCGTTCAGTCATAGAGTTCTGACTCCTTGATGAAAGCAGTTCAGGCTATTTAATTATATGTCATATATATATCCCACACCCTCAGGTGACGAACTGTAGGAACAGTCAGGAATATTTACCAGCTAAATAAACCCGATGATGACTGTAACTAAATGTTTAAGATTGTGTAAGCAAAAATTTTTAAACTTAATTTGCTGAATAGAGGCGGAAAGTTTGATTGAATAAAAGCTCATTGAAATCGAGTCTTGGAAAGATTAGGACCGTTCTAGTTCTCCGGAGTGGAGTTAGGGCGCGATTTACTTATTTCATGATATAGTAAATTCAAGATAAATTTAATTTGATATGGGTTTGGATAACGGCCTATTTTAATCAATCGCATCATTTTTGCGAAGAAAGTTTATCCTTAAAAAAGCGAGAAATTAATTTCTAGGTTCCAGGCACACCTTAAAAGATAACATAAAAAAACATTTTTGTGCATCAAAGTAATTTAGAAATATTGATTGATAAATTTCAAGAATAAATTTGAAACCGAGTTCCTCATCGTATATTTCACTTTTTCGTTATTATTCGATTAATATGGCAAAAATAGCCAAAATAAGTCCTTTTCGATTTATTTTAGAATCAAACGAATCTAAATCTTAAGAGCAAACTTTTTTTTGAAGTTCCGATTAACTAAAGTTCAAGAAAAGTCCCAAGGAAATTTCATTATTTCCCATTTAGAATGATTTATTTCAAATGCTTTTGTTATCAGAAATTTTGTCAATACAGACACATGGTAGAAATTGAATTGTCTTAATGAGAATTGGCTTGTGGTTAGTCGAGGGTGACCACAGATGTGGCACTATATTGAAATTACATTATTGAGAAAATATTGGTTGCATTTAATATTAAATTTGAAGAAATATTAGTCTTTAATATTTCATTACCGTCTTGTAAAAGTATTTTTGACAGCATTCAATCAGTTTAAATTCTGATGACAAATCATGTTTATGGTTTGGCGCATGCTGGTACTGCCTTCAATCGATACACTTGGTGAACACTAATCAGAAATTTGTGACAGCCTCTTTTTTTATAATCCAGATTCTGTTCCTAACGTCCAACGGCAAATCGATTTCAAAACTTGTGAAGCAGACTCTTAAATCCCACTTTCCCTCTATTTATTCTCTCTCCCTCTCTCTCGCGCGAGAAATAAAATTAGTTTGTTTGAAGGTTGTGATCAACTGTAACTACGACAATGATTTTCAGCAATTCGGGGTTCGTTAATATGCATATTCGATGTCCGTCAATGTATAACCAGTGAGCGGAATATCCAAGCGCACTGATCAAGTCTGTTAGCTTAAAAGAAGAGTCACCATGGTTTTAATATCTTGGTTGAAAAATGTTGGAAAACGCTTTCACAAAGTGGGTTTTGGAGTCAACGCCCCACAAAATGAAACGAAAATCATACCTTTTCATCACAACGCATAGATATGGTCCAATATTCAATAATTATGAATTTTCTCCGTTAAGGATTCTTTTCATTATTAAAATACGCATATTAAACTGGAAATAACTTTGCTAAAGATAACGGGTAATTTTTTCGCTTAAATACTCCATTGGATTTCTATGTATTTTATTCCCAAAAGGTTACTTCTAAAATGGATGTCTCCCAAAGGATAAAATTTTCTTGGTATGTACGCTTGGCAAATGAAAATGGCTCGAGAATTCGTGATGCTCAAGTGATTTTTGTTATTCAACCCAATTAGATATTCATAACTCATTATCAAATGAGCAAAATTAGTTTGAGAGAAAAAAGAAATTAATTTTAAAAATACGATTTATTATTTATTATTCAAACAAAATGGGTCAGAAGAGATTTTAGGCATTTTGAAATTCATTGAAAAGATAAGCGGATATGCCCTTATATAAATATTTATAAAATAGGGCAGGTGTTCTGATAGTTATCATTAGCCATTTAGTTGACTTCAGGGATCATGGAGGGGAAGAAACATCAAAGTGAACAAAGTCCTGAGGGGGGAAAAGAAAAGTGTTTCAAAGATGAAAAAGAGGCGGACACAAAGGTAGAAAAAGAGTGAGGTGAGTACTGTGGAAGCAGTCGAATATGACATACAGTGGGGTGATGGTAGTTTAACGTGAGAAGCCAACTGCAGGTTTATAGACTTTTTCCGTATGAGCATACATTGCCCAGGGTGTACGCGTGGATTTAAGTCTATCGCACACCCCTTTATATAAATATTTGATTTCCTGAACCTTATCCCCATCAGATCGAGCATTATATTCAAAATTAGGGAATCTTTGACGTGACGTCTTGTCAGAAATCAGATATGTCAAATTCTGAATCATTTGGAATAAGCAAGTATTGAAAGCATAACAATTAAACTGAATTTATTAGCTATTTAGGGTGGGGGGGGGGGGGGGGGGAAGGTCTGTAGTGGTACGAATTTTGGAAACAATGTGAGATTAAGAGAGAAGGAGGAGTAATTTTCAAACGCTTTCACTTATTACGAAAATATAAGCACACATTAAATCTTCGCATTAGCTAATTTCTATCAGCGAGCCGCCTTTTTTGGCAATCAGCAACCACACACACACACACACCCCACCCCCAAGGAAATCCTTTGCCATAAACTACATGAATGCCTTTTGCAATGTTTATCGTTGCCTTATGCAAATTTTATTCGAAAAATTCGAGGAAACATGCTAATATGTTTTGGAGATTCTGAAAAGAGGCTGCTTTGTACCAATGATTTTTTGTTTGCTGAGTAATACTAGGGCGATTTAGTCAACTAAAATTCATTAACGTACTGAGCAATATCGACAGTTTTAGCATTCATCGTATCTTTACTGAGTGACGATGTGAACTTGTTTTCCATCCCTCTGAAGTTTTTAAAAGTGATAAACGATTGATAGATTATTTTATTTCAATTCACATCTGTACAATTTCATCTAAAGGTAATTTGCAGTTATTAGGTAAGTTAAATCAGAGCACCATGATTCAAAGTCAATTTGTTAAGGTTTAATGGTGAAAACTGACAGCGTTTGTGAAAACCAAACACCCCATAAGATCGATATAGATCGGTGACATTTAAGAGGATGAAATACTAGACAAGAACGATATATAAGTGTTCTGGAGAAATTGACTGATACGGTGCGGTGTATATGCGCAATAAATTAGCATGGATATAAAACCCAACTTTCAGGTCAAGAGTTAACTATTCAGCGTGTAGGACTATTTTAATGCAGTGAATAAAGTGGCTAAATTTAGAAAGAAAAAGTGACTAATCCTTCCATTCAATACTGATAATCTTTTACGAATTATTTGCACCAGTGTATATTCCAATATTTCGATTCGCTACCAAATATATATATATATATATATATATATATATTTCAAATGGTAAGAGTTTTGATAATTATCATGATCTCTTTAGCTGACTTCGGGCCTTACAGAGGAGAGGAACATCAAAGTGAAAAAAAGTCGAGAGAGGAAATAGAAGAATGAATCACAGATGAAAAGCGACTGACAGACACAAAGGTAGAGAAATAAAGTAAGGTGAGCATT